TATAAGATGCTAGGGTAAACCCACTATCTCACAGGAAAAAATGAGTCCAACAACCCAGATTGAATCTAAGCCGATCTGACTATCACGGATGTCCGATAGTGTTTGAATTTTTTTTTATTTTCTACAAATCCAAATTACTTGAAATTTATAGCATGTGTACATCAAAAATAGGTGAATCGTCAAAAAATATCAAAAAAATATTTTACATCAAATAAATTGATAAAAATACCCCCGAATGGTTTCGGGGGTATTTTGGTAAATTTTTTCACGAATTATTTTTTTTATGTTTTTATTAATTGCAGCTTGATGAGAAAAAAATACGCCTAAAAGTTTCAGTGATTTGGATTTGTAAAAAAAAAAAGTTAAAATTCAAAAACTACCGAACATCTGTGATCATCAGATCGGCCCAGATTCAATCTTGGTCGTTGGGCTCATTTTTTCCTGTGAACTAGTGGGCTCACCCAAGATTTTATATATATATCTATTAATAATGATCCTATAGGACCTTCCCCCACCCATATGTGTAAGACCCCGAAAGATCACTATTAAAGTTAACATGGATCTTTAAAAAATTATCATATAGGTGTAGGAGTTATAGATCCGTACCAAATTTAATAGTGATCCTTTGGGATCCTATACACATGAGTAGATGAAGATCCTATACAATCATTTATTTATATATATATATATTTTTTAAAATCCCCAAATCGTGAAGCATATCATTCCATTCATAATCCATCTTTTCCAAGGGCCCGCAGGTCATTTGTATATTTATTATAGGAGAACGAGCAAACATTTTTGTCCAGAATACAATACGTAACATGGCTCACCCATATTCGTGCTTCAAGGCAAAATTAATTTATATATATATATTTTAAAATCCCCAAATCGTGAAGCATATCATTCCATTCATAATCCATCTTTTTCAAGGGCCCGCAGGTCATTTGTATATTTATTATAGGAGAACGAGCAAACATTTTTGTCCAGAATACAATACGTAACATGGCTCACCCATATTTGTGCTTCAAGGCAAAATTAATTGTCTTTGAGAAAATAGAAAAAAAATATTTCTTTTTTCTGGTAGCTCAATGGGGAAGATCCCTTTACCCTAGAAGGAATGGAGAGCCCAATTAATTTTTCTTTCGCCTTTTGGGTGATTAAGCATCAAGCATGACAGAAACATCGATGGTTATGGCTACAAATGAATTGTTGCATTCAAGGTGCTGCTTCTCCCATCTCATTGATGATGCAGACTCCAAATGACCCATCTCATCAACTTCAAATGAGAAAGTCATGATATTTGGAATATTTTACAAGTTGTACTCAATATGCTATAAAAAAAGACAGACTCCTATGCCACGGATTCATCAATCACGGATAAGTTCCCTCGGGGGAAGAACAAATTAATGAATTGATAAACCTTACAAGAGAGGACATGGACTAATTCATTTGATGTAACCGTATAATAGGGATGGCATTTATGTCGCACAGGTTTTTGTTATGGATCTGTAAATTAGATAACTTTTCTAGCAGCAATAGCTACAGCAAGGAGGATTATTGGAGAAAAAAGAAGCCAAATGTAGGGGATAATGGCCTGTATCAATGCACCATCTTCTTCTTCGGCAATTGAGTAAGTGGGCGTATCTTCAACAAATGCTTCAAAATAATTCTGGTAACCAGTTGCCTTGGGAGAAATTGGGGAGCTACTAATTTTCATCATTTCCATTGCCTGTAATCACCCAAAGAGGCAAACCAGTATAGCCACTTTTTCAACAGAGCTCAGAAGCAACAGCAGAAAGGAAACCCTTAGAACATGCTAAAGGAGTTATGCCTGTTACCTCGAACCCAAAAATGAATTGTCTTGCTTTCTTGCTCACTTGCACATTAGGGTGGTTCTGAAGCTTCTCATACATTATTTGGGCCTCCTTCGACCTGCAACATTCATGGATCAAGTTTTGTAACATGGGATACATACGAGAAAAAAGGTGGTCTAAAATTCAAATCCATATTGACAACTCCTCATTTTCTACCATGCAATTTTAATTGATGTTGAAGCGAAAACACTGCATTCTTAACTTGTATCAGACTAATAAAACAAGGAAAAAGTTTATATAAGGTTGCAACCTTAAAATGTAGAATTACATATGCACCTTAAAAATCCATCGGAAAAAGTTGTTTTAATGTTGAAAAACCTTCTAATTGATCATCTCGACATCGAGATGATTGAATATGAAGAAGAAAAGATTTTGAGTCTCAAAAGCACTGCGTCTTGTAACACATTATCTAGACCGTCCATTTTCAAGATTTTCATATGTTTGTAGATCTACTTAATTTTAACCATTTTGGAGTTTAAAATTTTATAATTAGATACGAAACTATATTTTCAGATAATTCTAAGAATTTTTTATGCCAAAAATAAACGTTATAATAAATTTAATTTTGGATGTGCGCCTTAATTGGATTGTTTAAGGCTGCAACTTTATAGAAACCACACCCATAAAACAATGATGGAAGCAAGCAATCAACACAAGCAACAGTAACTAAAATAATGCAAGTAATAACCTCAATATCTTATCATAATTGGAAACTTTATTACTAAACAATGATGTACACAAGCAAACTAATGAAAGTTAAGCCTATCAATCACTGATTCCATGCCCACATTTTATGTAGAAGCCAAAATACATACACGTAGTAGGCCTCTTCTTCCTGTAATACTATAGTAGCGGTATTCGCAAATTCGGCTGCAAATATTGACAGACAACCATCATGGAGGTCAGAGTTTGTGGTTTCACATAATAGACTCCAAATGAAACTCCTGTGCTGGCTGATGCCCAGGTTTAGCCAGCGCGAAAGGAGCCCCACATTACGGGTCACAAAATATAAAACTTCATAACCCTTGGGGCAAACGCCCAATTACAAATAACAATAACTGACACTTTACAGAGGAAACACACATGGAACAAAAATATTCAGGGGAAACGAGGGCTTCATGTAATTGTACAGGATTTTACAGCATGCACCAAGGGTGGCAAGTGGGTTGCAGATTCGGTGGCACATCTATGGAATAGTAGAGCTGGCCTCCATGTGGGACTAGATCCTTGATCTTTTATCTTTTGTCCCCTGCCCAAACATGACTTTACGTCAACTTCAGTCTGCGCCTTTGGTGCAACTTGATGTAAATAATTTCTCTGGGTATTCATACATGAACAATTTCGAGGACCACAAAAAAATTAAATAGTAGTGAGGTGAATCCTCAATAAAATGAAATAAAGCTAACTAGATCCAACATGCCAAATGATTACAACTGCAAAATGATCACACCCAGCATCCAAAAAAATTGTGATCCGAATCGTGAATCACCTGATCCTGATCAAGAATTAGTAGGCACCGCACTGTTTCCTTGTCTGAACCAGCAGGTTCTTAAATATATAACAAATAATAGGCAGTATCTTATTAACCAAGCTGAATGGCTTAGTTGGTTAGCGCTGACAGGCTATTAACCTTTGGTTGAGTGTTTAATAGAACTCCACTTCTACAAAATTTGTGTACTTCAAGCTTCCTTTTTTTTTTTTTATAAGCTCAAGTATTTTTTTTTTTTTATATGCTCAAGATTTTTTTTTTTATTAACCATTTTTTTTTATTTTAATGTTAGCAAAAGCCAAAAAGAATCTTAAGAAGTAGGACAAATCAAACCTCCACTGCTTAGGAAAGCAGCAACACGCCATAACCACCGAATCCTTGCTCGATGATCAGAGCTATAAATAGTACATAGTACATACTATATTTTTCTCTTTTATTCTTTTGGGCCGGATCACTGGTCTGGCTGGTCTAGATCTGGATTGGTGGGTAAGCGATCCACCCACTGATCCATTTTTTAAAACACTGATTATATACCAATAAACACTAATACCATGACAAAAATAATTCACTCAAAGGACTAATGAAATTGCCAAATACAACAAAAGATTAAAAAAACTATTTCAAAAAACAAACAAAAAAAAATGCAATTACAAGGAAAGAACAGAGTTAAGAGGGATCTTTGAGCTTTATATTTGGAACACATTTTAAAAAAGTGGCTCTTACCTCTCCTTCACGTCTGCCTAATCCTCCTCTCCACCCTTAACACCCTCCTCCCCCTCACCACCTCCCCTCTTCCAACTCCTTCCCTTCTAAGAACTCCTCCTCTTCCTATCCCACAATCTATAAAACTTACAGTCAACTCCTCCAACCAAAAAAGGCCCCCCATCACCATTTTCAACCATAGAAGGCCCTGCATCTAGCGTCTGGTACTCTGACCCATTCCTCTTCCCCAGTTGCCCCCAATCTTCAGTCCTCTTCTCCTACTCCTCTCTCTGCACCTTTCTCTATCCCAATGGGCAGTAGACATGCTGCCTTCCAGCCCCAACAAAATGATGTTAAAGAGATTCAGAGGTGGGCTGCAAAAACTTAGGACGTCGCAGAACTTTCCTGCCAGAAACTGTCCTCGGAGGATCTCCTATTCTCCTTCCCCTCAGAGGAACCCTTGCTCAAAGCTCTAGGAAGCCACAACACTTGTTTCCATGGAGTGGCCCTTTCTCTCTCTTGCTGGAATGACATGGGTGCTTCAAAACCACAGAAGGTCTGGCTATTGGCGTCCCACATTCCTCTCCAGGCATGGAATATTAACACATTTCAGAAGATTGGAGAGGCTTGCAGAAAGTTTATCTCGGCTCATTGGAATTCTGCCGCTTCTCTGCCTCTTGGCACTGTTTGGCTTTTGGTTGAAGCCCTCATTCCCCAACTCCTTTGGCTTGAAGTTGACAGCCTCTTTTCAGAGTCTCGGTGTCCTGGTCATCTGCATCTCCTCCATCACCCTGCCTTGTTGATGACCACGGTGCATCTATGCCTGGACCACATGCGTTCTACAGGGCTCCGCACGGACTGGACCACAGTGAATCGCAAGCGTCCTTCAAAATCCAAGAGCCTCCTAGAATCCTAGATCTACGGTCCTATAAACTTATCTCCAAAATCCTTGCCTCTAGCCTTAGGGCAGTCTTAAGCTTAGTCATTTCCCCACCCAAGAAGCTTTTGTCAAGGGTCGCTAGATCCTGGACGAGGCTCTAATCACCCATGAGTGCATCCACTTTCACACCACATCCAAGACCCTAAGACTTGTCATAAAATTAGATTGGGAGAAAGCTTACAACCACGTAGATTGGTCAGTTCTTGAGGAAACTCTTAAAAGGATGGCCTTTGGGCTAAAGTGGAAAAATTGGATCACAAGGTGCATCTCTAACCCTATCTTCTCAGTGCCCATAAATGAGACACCTAAAAGCTTCTTCTCAACTAGTAGAGGTCTCCGCCAAGGCGATCCTTTGCCGCATTTCTTGTTCGCTATCATGGCTGAGGTCTTCAACACCTCAATCTCGAGGCTCTACCAAGCAGGCCTCTTGAGAGGATCCCAATCTAGTAATCAAGGCCCTTACATCTCCCACTTGCAATACACGGACGACACCCTCGTCTTCTGCGACTCCTCGGTGCAACATGTTGATACACTTATGCTATTTCTTAAGTGTTTTGAAATGACTACTGGCTTTAATGTCAACCTAGCCAAATCGAAAAATAATGGGAGTCTGCACATACCCATCTATAGTCCAATTACTCGCCGATAGATGGGCTGCTCTATTGAGAACTTACCTTGGACTTCGCCTTTGCCTTGCCATTCCCCGACTCTCGCAATGGAGTCACATAATCGACAAATTCGATCAGAGATTTGCTGCTGGAAAGGCAGGTTCCTATCCAAGGTGGGAAGACTCACACTAATTAAGGCCACCCTAGCCAACACTCATGTTTTAGATCTCTTTATTCCATATCCGTGCCTCTGTGGCCATGAGATTGCAGTGAATGATGAGAGAGTTTTTCTGGTCTGGAAAACAAGGACACAAGTTTCATATCATATCAAGGCCCAAACTGTGTTTACCTAAATCTCAGGGGGGCTTGGGTGCTCGCAACTTTAGGGCTTGGGTGCTCGCAACTTTAGAGCCCACAATAATGCCCTTTTGGGCAAGTGGTGTGACCCAACCATGCCACCTTTGAAGGGAGATCATCAAGCACAAATATTGCTACAGCAATGACCATCGGACTCCTGAATGCAGAACCAGTGGGCTTATCTCTAGCTTTTGGAGGTCTGTCCTTCGATGCCACTTTCCTCCAACCATTGTTTCAAAAAGTGCTAGGCGGCCGGCGGGGTCCAGGTCGCCCAGCGCCTAGGCCTAGGCGGGCGCCCAGAGCCTGAGCGGCTCAGTAGAAAGAACAATGTCTCTATAGTCTATCAGTATAAGTATAAATGTATAACACATAAGAATTATGGATTTAGGGCATATCAAATGTATAGTACACAAGTCCACATGGCACACACTCCTCCATACTCCATAACCACAAGTCCAAATCAAAAACAGAAATCACTAACTTTGATTGCTCAATCTTCAAACTTTCACCTCTAAGATGTTTCTAAGGACTCAAAATCTTCTAAAACACTCTCTAATAGATTTATAAAATACCCAAAACTAAATCTAATATCAATGGGTGACGCTTAGATCAATTTTTCATAACTTTGAGAAACCCTTCGATCCTATGGAAATCACCAAAGACTAGTTTTTTGGGGTTTTTCTCACTCTAAAATAGGCTCTAATGGGTTTTAAGTTTCAAATGAACCTAAAACCCAAAATTTTGTCCCTTTAGTATTAAAAAAATGACCAAATAATGCCCTCAACGAGGGCATTTCCGCCCCTGGGCGGCCGCCTAGGCCGGGCACCTAGGCAGGCGCCCAGGGATATCCTCCTAGACTTGGGCAATGGGCAATTCACCCAGGCCTTTTGGACCGCCTAGGCGGTGCTGCCCAGGCACTGGGCGATTTACTTTTTAAATCACTGCCTCCAACGCATTCGATTTCGACCGTGAGGGGGGGAATAGGGTGAAGTTTTGGACTAATACATAGATTTGCCACACCCCTCTTAGGGATCAGTTTCCTAACCTCTTTCTCTTAGCCCGAGATACTCAGTCCTCTGTGGTTGAAAATTTCGGTGTTTTAGGTCGTCAAGATCTTGAACGTCTAATTTCAGGAGACCCTTCAATGATCATGAACTCAATCACTTTAGAGCATTGCTAAACTTCTTCATCCTGTTTTTCTCCCTCTCTGGAGACGATAGGATCATTTGGGCTCCTGCAGCATTGGGATTATTCTCGGTGTCCTTTGGAACTTCATCTTTAATCCCAACCTTGCAAGCCCCACCCTTATTCTAGCGCCTCCAAAACCTGGTTTCCCTTGTTACCACGTAGAATACAGGTGTTTTGCTGGATTGTGCTTCACAAAAGAGTGTTGACTGTTGATCATCTTCAAAGAAGAGGTCTAAAATTCCCATGCCCTAATAGATGCGCCATGTGCATGGATGCTGAAGAGTCCAATCCCACCTTTTCCTCCATTTCAATTTCGCTAGAGCCTTATGGACCTGTCTACTACACCTATTCGAGTGGCACTGGGACATTCCTAGATCCATCCCCCATTTGTTTCAGACTTTTCTCCACACTCCTTAGCCCAAGGCAAGGAGAGTATGTTGGAAAGCCTCAATCTAAGCCACTATCTAGGTGTTATGGACAGAAAGGAACCACAAAATTTTCAGGGGTGAGAATCCCACAGTCGCTGTGCTGGCCGAGAAAGTCAGGAATCTAGTGGCCTTCTGGGCCACTAACCACAGGCTCTTCAAGGAACTTGTCCTTTACTCATTTCCATAGCAACTGGCAGAATTTGTTGTGCCTAGCCTATCCTTGGATCTCATGGGCCTCGTTTTGGAGGCCATCAGAACCAGGATCCATTAAGATTAACTTCGATGGTTGCTCCCTTGGCAACCCTTGACCATCCAGAATTGGTAGTCTCTTTCGATCTAATGACAGATGCACGTTGTTATCCTTCTGCTCTATTGTTATGGTGGACTCCTCTATTACTAAGGCCCTCGCCCTCTTGGACGGCCTTCACAAGTTTGACTACACCTGGAGTCCTGACGTGGTGGTGGAAGGAGACTTTAAGAACATTATCACATGAAAAATCTCATCTCTCCTCTTGGCTGTGGCAGCTAAACAATATATTCAGTGAGATTTCCCACTTATCCCGTGGCTTCAGCATCTCATGGTACCATACTTTTAGAGAAGCCAACTCTAATGCAGATTGATTGGCTAGGAAGGGGGCCTATTATAACTCCTCGTTGGGGCCTTAGACTTTTGCGGCCACCCTTTTCCTTTTCCCACTTCTTTGCTCTATAACTCTCCCATTGCAAAGCATTTCTGGACCCTATGGGGCTATGTATTCTCTAGGTCACCTCGGTTTGTATACTCCATTATTAAGTAATACAGTAATAGTGAACTTTCTCAAAAAAAAAAAAATAATATATATATTATATGGGTGTGGCTTGTATAGAGCATAGGCTCTAAACAATCAAAATAGAGCCTACCTTCAAATAGTGTCAAGAAATGTGGTTTCAATACAAAGCAAAGCAATGAAAAATCCACAGACAACATAGAAATTGCTTAAGATATCTATGCCAAACAAAGATTATCCCAGATGCACATAGGTATGTGAATCTTTTATTGCTTTCATACAAACTAAAGTGTAGCCAAACAAACATAGGCATGTGAACCACATGCAATAAAAGGGCAGCAAACAGTAGAGTTTCACTTTATTTGCTGTAATGTCTTTTCAATCTCAAAAATGAAGCATGGACAAAACTACTATATTTTGATAAAGATAGCAACAGTACCTACTTAATGAATCTTGACATATCGACCACTGCAGTGCGGCAAATCCATGGAGTTCGCTCTGCAGAAACAATATTCCACAAAAGCAGCACGAGATGGACTATTAGAAAGCTGATAAACAGAAGTCATGAAACCTACAGAATAAAACCTGTTAGTATCCGAGGAACAAGCTACAGATTGTCTAACGAGGAAATCATCAAAAGGAACACTACATGGTGAGATACAAACTTTAATAGATAAACTTCTTGTTAAGTCAGCGATAGATAACATTCTCATGCCAGTTTCTCAATCTCAGAAGATAAGTATCGGCCATTTTTGCAATTGCTAATGTAACAAATAGCATGAGAATGTTTTATACAAGAAGAGCAATTATGGGCCCAAAGTCTGATCCATGGCAGATCGCCCATTTAGGTTCCCAATCCTTAGAATGTGAAATCATTTGCATCCTTGCATAATCAGAAAGAATCTTGTGGCCATGCAATGAACATTCACATGTGTACACAGGCATCCAAGCAAAACTGAAACATAAGCCTCTCATAAGAAACAGAACCAGAAATACAATTCAAGCATGAAATATTACAAAATACAAGACTGGAAAAATAATTCAGGCATGAAATATTATAAAATCAAACAGAATCAGAAACAATTCATGAACAAAATACCACAAAAGACAGAAAGACATGGGAACAGCTATAGAGAATTGAATATGGCTTTCCCTGTACGGAAATCATTAAGAACATTTCGGATGCATTTACATATAACGGACTTGTCAGATTAGACAAAAATCAAATTGTCGCATACAGCACTTAGAAGACATTCATTGTCAAGGTAAGGTAAAAATTCATACTAATATCACCACAGATGAAAACTTCATGCTCATTCTTCCTCTCCACCTTTTTTCTATCACCCTCCAACTATCTCCCCTACTTCTAGCCTCTACCACCCTTCTGTCTCTCTCCCAACCCTACCAAATCTAACCCAGTTCCCCATCTCCCTTAGCTTTATCCCCCCCTTCTCTTCCTTTTGCAGCTAGGCTACTTCAGATGAAAAGATCGCAGCTCTTCCTGGAGACGGAACCATACACAGAACTTATTCAAGGTTTGGACTTATTTTTGTGCATAAGGATCGGATTCTCTCGAGTCATTCCCTACTTCTTTCTTGTCTCTCGTCTCCTTTGTCTCCCTATTCTTTGTATTTCTAACCCATATCAATTATAAATTTTGTATACTGAGCACCAAACTTGTGGGATGCTATGAACGAGGGTCTGGACAACTAAAAAAGGCTCAGGAATGTAGCCACTTGCACCTTCTCCCCTACCCCTCCCTAACCACCCATGTGTCCACTCCCCTCCCCTGTATCGCAGCTATCGCCAATACAGAGAGTTCATATACCCAGAGTCATCCTCCTCTACCCCCCACACCTCAGCCTCCCATTCTCCATCCACCCTCAACATTCCTCCACCTCCACAATCCTTGGAATCTTTCGCTCAAGGCATTGTTTCGCATCTTCCCCCCCCCCTTCAGCCCTCTCTAAACACATTTCTCAGCCCAACCCCTCCCCTTCTTCCCCAAACTCTATCCCTATCCCCCAGGTCTGGCTCCCCCTAACCTCTGAAATTTCAGATCGCCTTCTATCTCTGAGAAATTCCTTCATCGGCTCTTTCTCCCCCCAACGTAATGATACTAAGGGCCTTGCCAAATGGCTCCAGAGAGTTTTCAACACCCCCCAGGTCTATTGCAAACCTTTACATAACAGTTTGTACATCATCTCTCTACCGAACCATATTTCACCCCTTCCTGTTAAACTTGGGTCCAAGCTCATCTTCCGTGATGGACTTTTATCCCTAAAGAGGTGGGATGAATCACATGAAGCTCAATGAAAAGGTAAGTTCTGGATTTTCTTAGACGATATCCCAGTTCACCTATGAATGCACCAAGTTCTCAAAACCTTAGGAAATTGCTGTGGGAAATCTCATTATCTTGGTTGCATCTGAGAACCGGGACCTCATTCCTGATCTTCTTCATGTGCACTGTAACAGCCTATCATACCCCATAAGGGTCTCAATCCAGGATTCCAATTGTTGGACTGTGGTGCAAACTTTCAAGTTTGCACCTAAGTTTGCGCCTTCCAATCCTGATGGTCCTCATTGCTCTCATGACCAAACTTCCCGTCTACCATATGCTCTGCTCCTCTCCCCTGTAATCCACCTCAACATTCCATGCCTCATCATGACACAGAACTCGGGACCCTCCAACATGTCACCCACACCTAACCTTCCTCGTACTCAGCAATTCCCTGCATTTAATCCTTTTGATCTGTCGCCGTCATCATGTGACGTGCCATCCCCTCCATCTCCACCCTTCATTAAAGCATCCATTAATGAACAGAACATCCCGTCGGTTCACGAGGTGCACACATTCTCATGTGTGCCGCCACATAATCCTCTACCCATCCCCCTCATAAATTCTCGCCTCAGCCTAGAACCTTCTTAGCCTAATTGCTGCCCCCATCTTCACCACGTTGTTGTACCTCCCTCTCCTTCTCAGCCGCCATAGTCTCTGCACTCGAGGGACATTAATAACCAGCAGTAATCCAGCCTCTGATCTCCCCCATGACACGTGGCCTCTCTGCTAAATCCCCTCATCCCTCTTTCTTTTTCGAGGCAGGCCCAGCTAATCCCTCGAGCCCCTCCCCTCTTCTTTCTCTCTCCAAACCTCTTCGCCTCCCCCTCTGGTTCCTTCCCCAAGTTGTGACCCTCCACCTCTCAATGGCGCCTTTCAATTCCCCTGCTACATTGATAACCCTTAAACACCCAATTCCCCTTCTCTTCAACCGACCTCTTCTCCCACACCCCTCTCAACACATTATCCATGTACCCACTCCAATCCCTCCCCTCCAACCCGTTCTCCTTCTCCCCTTCTCCTGCCTCCCCTCTCTTCTGCTAGGCTCAACCTCTTCACCAATCCCCTATCCCTTGCAATCACCCCTTTTGCCCCCTATCAACACTTATGCCAAGGCAATAAAAGCAACGACCCTTATACCCTGGGTGGCTCTGCTGGCAACCCCTCACCCTTAACCCTCCCTTATCAACCCCAGAGAACCCACATCCCCTCGCCCAATCTCACTGGCCACCTCCACCCTCAAGCTCTTGTCCCTCCCTCGTCTTATATTTCATTCCCGGGATTCCCTTCACCATCTCTAAGTGCGCTTTCATCCCCTCCCCTTTTCGTCTTTTTAGAAGCATCCCCTACCACTCTGATATTGTCCAATTCTTTTGTTGTCCCACTCCAAATCCCCCAGGTACTGGAATCACTCAATCTAACCTTGATAATCATGTCCCAATTCTGCTATAAATGCATCTAGCTATCAATGTTGCCCATAGCTCCAGAGGTCGTCTTCCCCCTTGCATCCCTCCCCTAAACTTTCTTTTTTTCCCCTACGAACCTCCTCCAAACCTACGACTCGAACCACCCCCCCCCCCCTCCGCTCTCTCTCCCCCTCCCCCCCTCCGAGCAATCCCACCTGAGTCCTTTCATGACTTCAACTCAGACGTCCACTCTTCCATTTTTGTTGATTCAAGAGAACTACTCAGGATCGAGAGAGAACTCAGCCTGTCAGAGATGATTGATACTATGGCATCATGTTTGGCAGAAACATCTCAGAGCTCACGGATTGTCTCAAGGAAGCCGTTGGAGCACACTGCAGGTAACCCCCATAACCAAACCCTTAGAGGTAATAGGGAACATGCAAACCTTCGTCCGAGGGTGAACAACAACACCCCCAAGAGCTCGACCCAGCCCACCTCCCTTCTCTTTGCCCTTTCTTTATGTCCAAAAAAAAGGGAGATCCAACTACAAATCCTCCAGCCACCTTAATTCCCCTAATGAAGGTCCTTTGTTGAAACATAACTCGACAGCCACGCAAAGTGTAATGTCGGTCACTCTTTGGTATCCTCCCACAACCCTCTCATCCTCCTTTTTGAAACCAAGATGCATGGCCCTAGCCTTCCTTTGGTTAGGGAAACTTGGGGGCAGAACCCCTGTGCTTGGATAGCTAAAGACTCTATAGGGGCCTCTGGTGGCATATGAGTTATTCGGAACACTACAGTCATCCAAGATCTTTCCTCCCAGATTTTAGATTTCTCTATGTCTATCCTTTTTTAATTGTGTTTCATCTATGGCCCAATTGTCACATTCGTCATCAGGATCTCTGGCTTGAGCTTTCTTCGATTGCTCCTCCTCGTGATTTACATTGGATCCTTGAAGGAGATTTCAACATTGTTAAAAACTCCCAAGAAAAATCTAGTGAAGTTCGTTTCACAGCCTCCATGTCTGCATTCTCAGAGTTCATTACCAGCATCCCCCTCATAGATATTCCTCTCTCAAGAGCAACTTTTACATGGTCAAACGACATCCCCTAACCCTATCATGACCAAACTTGATCGTTTCTTAGTTTCCTAGTCTTGGGAGGCCATCTTTCTGGGGACCTGCTCCTGTGCTCTCCCTAAAGAAACTTCTGACCATAAATTCATTATCCTGAACACCAACCTGATTCAAAGCCTGGCTAAGCCCTTCAGATTCGAGCTTTTATGACGGTCCTTCAGATTCGAGCTTTTATGACGGGAAGAACCTTCTTTCCTCCATCTCTTTAAATCCTCTTGGTCCTCCTCAATTTTAGGATGGGCAGGATTCAGAGTCTAAAAAATTTCAGATCCTAAACGCTTCCATTAAGCAATGTAGCCGCTCCCTCCCTACCAACTTTAGGGAGCAGTTAATGCTCCTTCTACAACAATTCTCGCCATAGACTCCTAGGAGGAATCTCGCCCTGTCACTACCCAAGAATCCGAGGTTAGGACCTTTGCTAAAGTCAATCTCTTCCAAAATTTAAAGAAAGAGGAAACTTACTTGTACCAGAGGTTCATAATCAAATGGCTTTCCATTGGAGAAAGAAACACCGCCTTTTTCCATAAGACGGCTAGCTCTAGGCATAGGAGTAATGCAATCACCCATGTTTCTATTGGCAATCACTCTTGCTACCAACCTAACCATATCAATTGTATCT